ATATATATATATATATAGTTTATTAACACTTAATGAAGCCTTAATTCTTAAATTACTTTTGCCCCCAAAATCTCTACATAAAAGAATCCGCAGCACGTTTGAAGAAGCCCGATTAGCCAACGCCTCTTTTTTCTACTGATTTTTATATTTTGGCCATTTTAGTTGCAACTCCTTTTTACTTTCATTACCTCCAAGCAGGCAAAGCAGCCCACCTTGTTTGACTGCATGCTCTTTTGTCCCTATCACAAAGGGTTTTAAATTTTTTTTATATTGAGGGCAACATTTATATGCATTTATATCCCAAGTCTTTTGAAGGAGAGGAAATTTATATTAAATTATATATTGATAATATATTATATTTAATGGTGTTAAAATGTTATCCCTGGCATGTAAATTTTGTACACGTGTATTGAAATTATAGAGAAATTTGTGTGCTTTTAACAACTCAGCACATTTTTTTGGCAAGTGTGCACCGGCTCAGCATTTCTGTTAACTTATATTATGTGACAATGAAATTGATAAGATAGTAATTTATGTTACTAATTGGATGAGATGGTTGTGTTATAATCAAATAAGTTGGGTTTTACTTGTCTAAGAAATGTATATGATGTATATAGTAGATATATTAGATTCAGAGGAACTATGATAGGGGCTGCATGGAGGCCAAAATTTTTTATCCAAAAGTATACTTGGTTGCTGACTTACTTTGATCTTTATGTTGAGGGATGCATGATTTATCGGGGCTTAGACTTAATTAAATATCTAAATCACGTCACGGAATAGAATCGTGTGGAATCAAGATAATCAGAACAAACTTATGAACCGAAGCACAATAAAACTAGTGAACCAGAAAAACACACGAGAATTTAATGTGGAAAAATACGAGGAGGAGGAAAAACCATGGAGCCACACCACCACAATAATTTCACTATGAATCAAATAGTTTTATTGAGAACACACTCAATTTCCTCTCCTCTTTCAAGGAAGTTTACAAGACCTCGCTCCAAACTTTTCCTTCTCTGATTCGACACGAGAAACGCACGTCGAAATCACTAAAGTCCTACTCTCTCACACTTTCTCACATTCAATGAGTTTTTTTTTTTTTTTTCGAAGAGCGCGGAAGAATGACTACTATACGACACTGAAATTCAGCTCTTAAAACCAAAAAAATTGCTTGTTAACTATTTTGGGTGCATAGGTGCCCAGACTTGGCACCGAAGAGTCGTTCTCTCTAAGGAAATGGGGTGTTGAGTCTAATATTGGACACCTAGGAGCCTAAAGGGGGTGGCTCCTCTGCAGCGCCCACAAGTGGGGCATATGCATGAGCAGGTGTAATGGTCTCCAAATCAGTCTCCATAAATAATAATCTCCCACTTTGAAACTGATTGACTCCAACATCAGTCTTTTGTACTTGCACTCCCATCTGAATCGCCTTCATATTCGTGTGTAATGGTGTGGCACATTCTTGGACTTAAACTTTATTAAACCCAACTAAAGTCAAGCACAGCTTCATTTTCTCAGCTGTCACCACCTTCATGAACATATTCGTAAGATTCTAAGTTATGTGTATTTTCTTCAGCAACAACTGCTCATTTTCTAAAAGAGAGCAAATAAAATAATACATAAGCTGAATGTGTTTCTTCCTAACATGAAAAGTTGCATTCTTAGCAAGATGAATCACACTCATACTTTCACTGTGCAATTTTCAATCTCCTGCTCTTTGTCAAATTCTACTATAAAACTTTGCAACTTAATCAAATCCTTCCTAGTCGCAGTGATAGCAATATATTTGGTCTTTGTAGTTTAAAGTGCAACAATATTCTACAACCTACAAATCCAACTCACCATCTTGTTTCCCAATGTAAGGATATACCACGTTGTACTTCTGCTATCTACATTTACTGTCAGATCTGAATCTACAAATCCTTATAGACTGATCCCCGCACTTCCATGTCAAAGTGCCCTATTGATTGTTCCCCTTAAGTACCTAAGAATCTACTTTACATCTTCCCAATGATGTCTAACTGAATTGCCCATGTACATGTTGACTACTCCCACTACATATGCAACACCTAATCTGGTACAAATTATTGCAGACATCAAACTTCCAACTACTGAAGCATATGGAGTTTTCTCCATTTATGTGTGCTCTGCTTCAGAGTTAGGTGATAGCTCCTTAGATAGTTTGAAGTGAATACATAAGCGATTGCTAACTAGTTTCATCTCACTCATATTGAACCTTTATAGGATCTTCTTAACATACTCTGGTTGAGAAAACTTCAATGTTCTTGCACTGTGTTCTTGCACTCTTCTCCCTATTGATTCTCATCTCAAGGATCTTCCCGGTTGGACTGAAATTCTTCATCTCAAACTCACTTGATAATTATTTGTACAAGTCTCTGATTTTCTCCATATTTTTACCTGTAATCAGCATGTCATACACATGCAAAAGAAGCAAGATATAAAAATTACTGAAGTATTTGATGAAGCAACAATAGTCTGCCTGACATTAGGTACCCATTATCTACATAAACTTGTCAAATCTCTGGTACTATTATTTTTTAGCCTACTTCAAGCCATAGAGGCTCTTCTTCAATCTGCTGGCCAATTTTTTTTTGCTTAGAACCTTGTAACCTTGTGGTTACACCATATATTGCTCCTCCTCCTGATCTGTAAGTAAGAAAGCTATTTTACATACATCTGCTCCAGCTGTAGATCTTCTTATGCCACAGACTCAGTACAACCTTGACAGTCGTCTTCTTCTCCACTTGGGAAAAAGATCTTTGTGTAATCCGCTCTTTTCTTCTGCTAGAAACCCTTTATAATAAGTCTTACCTTGTACTACTTTCTACCATCTGACTCCATTTTCAGCCTATAGAGAAACTTGTTGTGTAGTGCTCTTTTGTCATTTTGTAATATCGTCAAATCGCAAGTCTGATTTGACTCTAAAAATTGTGTTTCTTCAACCATGACAAGCTCTCACTCCCTTTAGTCTTCAACTTAAGTAGCCTCCTCAAAGCACTTTAGTTCACCACTATCAGTTAATATAAAATAGTGAAATGAAGGAGAATATTTATGTACATATTATATCGCTCTGTTGGATCTTTTGAATTCTGCAGCAGGTGATTGACTAACTTTCAATGCTCCTTTTGGTTGAGCACTTCTTCTCTCTCCATCCTCTTGATCACCAGTGTCTTATATCTTAACATACTTGGACTCTTCAAAAATAACTGATGGGTTGTCCTAAGTTCTAAGCTTGTGCCTGTATATCTCGATTAAATTGACATCCATGCTCCTGATAATTTTTTTTATTGTGATAATCCCAGAACTTATACTCAAACTCATATAAGTTGTATCTAATGAAGGTGCACTTGACAGAATTTCAGTCAAGCTTACTTCTAGAATCTGCATCAAAATGCACATATGCATGATAGCCAAATACTCTTAAATGAGATATACTTACCTTTTTGTCATTCTAGGCTTCTTCAAGTAAGTCTTCCTTCAAAGGTATTGATA